TTTTTTCAGTTTAACTTAATTGAAAATTTGCTCGTTGGTAAGATATTTATATCAACTGGCAGGCGTTTGACAGTTATCATTAGCCCTTTAGTTGACTTCAGTCTTCACAGAGAGGAAGAAACATCGAAGGGAAAAAATGTCGAGGGGGAGGGGGGGGGAGGGGGAACAGAAGAGTGTTTCAAAGATGTAAAAGAGAGAGAGATACAAAGGTAGAAAAAAGGTAAGATGAGTACTGTGGGGTGGTGCAATATGACATAGTATCGTACCATAATAGTTAGAAGTCAGAAGTGATCTGCCGCACAAGTATACGTTGCCCAGGGTGCACCATATGGAGGTAAGTCTATCGCGCACCCCTTCGTTGGTAAGGTAATTCATGGTATAATCTTCATATTATGAAACAAATTTTTAAATACACCATCCACAAATTTCTGTTTCCTGCGAATTCAGCAGTATTGCAATTCAAAATACACTCAATTTTCTTTTGCGTTTATCTGAAATTAATTCTTAAGCCGAAATATTTGATGAAACGTCTCTTTAAACCTTTAAAAAAATTGAAAAATGTTTTGCAATGTGGGGAAGAAGTAATATGAAATTGTACGCTTCTCACATTTTTTGGTTAAAATTTAGAATTTCTTCTTTTTAGTATCTTTTTGAACGACTTTATTTGCGATGCTGTTGGAAAGGGCTATAACATAAGCAGCTTTGTACAACAATCTCGTGTCTATGCTTGGTACTTGGGCTTGTTCTGCCCATACTACTAAATACTAAAATTGAAGATGCGCTTAAGAGTAAGTTTACTCACTAAAAGCATGCATCAGATAGGATGTGATCACTTTTATAAGTGATACAACATTGAATTAATAAGCCGTTTCAATTTTGCTACCAGAATAGTCCGATAGCATTATCATATAATAAGATTGACTTTTGATGCAAAATCAAAGTAAATACTGATGAGTGAATGCACAATCAAATGCCAGAATTAATATAAATGCAACGCCGCGGTTGCCAATTGATTTAAATTCATTAGAATAATTCCCTATAAAATCAACTCACTAATTAGGAAATAAATGATCTTACATTTGTACTGGCAAATCTTATAATAACATTTAATAACAAAAATTATTTTTTAATCAGTATAAAAAATTAAGTATTCAATTTAGGTGCTATGAACCGAACCACCACATTTCCGATGAAGTCTGTGGGACGTCATTTCATGCGCGTACACATAGGCTTGAGGTGCGGCCGTACAACCTCGCATACGGATTGAGGACAAGAGAACGCAGCCAATAGCAGCTCAATGGCCCTCGCTTGTTTAACCTAAGCCTCCATCATGATCATGATTAAGCTGCCTGCGCAACATACCCACTGAGTAAATGTGCTCCAACTTGATCCGCAAGATACGTCCTGAATAAACGTGCTCCGTGCACACTTTTCTGATCATTACGTGACTGAATATACGTGTTCCGAATTATCGTCTGTTTCCTTTATAGCTGGGCTATAGCTTAGCTAGTTTCGGTCTGTTTCCTTTATAGCTGGGCTATAGCTTAGCTGGTTCGTAATATGCTCACTGAATAGACGTGCTCCGTGCTACACGTCTGATTCCTTCCTACTGAATAAATGTTCCGTGCTACACGTCTGTATCCTCTGTAGAATAAACGTGCTCCGTGCTAAACATCTGTTTCCTTTATATGCAATATACGTACCGAATAAACGCATTTCGTGCTACACGTCAGTTTCCCTTATAGCTGGACTATAGCTTAGCTTGTTCTGGGAGTCTAGCTAGATGTTGGAGAATTCTCCGTGCTACTCGTCTGTTTCCTTTATAGCTGGGCTATGGTTTAGCTGGTTCTGGGAGTCTAGCTAGATGTAGGAGAATCTCCCTGGTTCTGGGAGTCTAGCTAGACGTTGGAGAATCTGCCGTTCTGGGAGTCTAGCTAGATGTAGGAGAATCTGCCACAGATATAAACGCGCTCCGTGCTACACGTCTGTTTTCTTTATAGCTGAGCTATAGCTTAGCTGTTCTCTAGCTAGAGGTTGGAGAATCTGCCATAGAGATTTCTGATTCCTAGCTAGATGTTGGAGAATCTGCCATAGAAATTTCTGAGCCGGTAGCTAGATGTTTGAGAATCTGCCATGGAGATTTCTGAGTCGGTCTAGCTAGATGTGGAGAATCTGCCATAGAGATTTCTAAGTCAGTCAGGCTTTACTTAGGGAGAGATTTCTGAGTCGGTCAGGCTTTACTAAGGTAGCAATTCACCACAAATCGGTGACCCTGACGTGATTGCCAAAGCCTGATTTTAATCGCTCAGCCGCAGTAAAACCTCTCATTGGTGTCACGATAACACTTCTTTCAATCGGTCAATCTCTCTCGAACAGTCAACACCCATTCGACTCTACTGTCCTCTCTTACTTACTTCATAATGCTTGAAGATACTGCACCAGCCCTTACGCTTGCTACCCCAAACTTCGATCCCGCACATCCAGACCTTTTCTTTGACCGACTAGAAACTATATTCCTACTAAGAGGAGTTACCAACTCGGTGACCTGGCTCTATTATGCCATTAGTGCCCTCCCGGATACTATCAGGATTCAATTCAAGGAGCAAACATCCACTCCGCCGGATAGCAAATCTTATGAGCGACTTAAACAGGGGATCATGAAACGTTTTTCCATAGCTCCCGAGAAACGACTACAACTTCTTTTTTCGCACAATGAACTCGATCTTGATTTTCTCATATAAACACCCAGGCCTGCATTTCTTGGCTCTGTCTCCGTAAGTTCGGTGATAATAGCAAACGTGTCGTCGTGCACTGATGTACTCCGACGTCTTCTAGGTGAGACGGGGCGCCCTCTGTTGGGGCGTGGAGGTGGGACTGTCATGAGTGTCTTCCATTCCTTAAACTGCTCCGTGAGTTCATCAACTCGTGCTAGTGCGTCATGGGCAGTCGGAGTTTTGACGGCGTTAACACCTGGCCTGTCTTGTTTATTATGGAGTATATCAGTCATCTCTGCTATCTTATCCAGATCGTCCTGGTATGGGTACGTCAATATCGACTTAACCAGTTCGGCAGGTAGGCACCTCAACTAAAACCCCTTTAGGACTGAGTTTCCTTCCTGTGTACACACTTTTTGCGTGATTTATCTAGTGAATAAACGTGTTCCCGCAATGCCCCTATTTCTTCCGCGAACCCATAGTAGAGGTTTCTGAGTTCAGTCAAGGTTCACGAAAGTAGTTATCCGCTACAAGTACATTTGTGCTACCTTAAATGCACTTATTTGGTCAATTGGAAGGATTGTAAAACCTATAAATGCGGTTATTATTCACAACAGTAAGCAAAAAGACGCATTCTAAAGCCATTTTGAAATGATAATTTCTTTGCAGGTCCTTTCACTTCTACTAGCAAGAGTAATTATTTGATTGGTTATCTACTTAACGACGTTATAAGGGGATTTTGTGGGTTAATATAGCTGGATTGGCTGAAGTGCGGAATTACTTCGTTTAAACAATAATGATGATAAACTTCAGTGGAAAAAGGCTAGAGGACTCTGTTGAGATCCTTGCATTCTATCTCCTACTGAGATTTACACTTGACATCAATGGATGTGCAAAGTAGGTATTTATCTCGTGATCTTGAACTCTGCAGACGTGCATATTTACCAGTAAGCCAAATCAGATAAATTTGCTTAAAGATACCACCAGCTTATCAAAGGTAATCGTTATTCGAGGAGGGATACGTAATTAGTGCAAATTTGTCCATACACATACGAGTCGACGGATCGAATCAAAGCCAGTGCTTCACGGAGCGCAATTTTTCCGCTGTCTTAAAATCGCTCTTATTGCATTAACAGAAGCAACAAGTTAGCCCTCGAGCACATTCTCATTCCAACCATCTTATTAGATAATATTTTATGGAAAGGGAAATACGAAAGGTATAGAATTTGCACTTAAGCTCCTCTAAGCGTCTAAGTTGAACTTCGTATTTTTAACTGATCCAACTGTCACAATCGAAACTAAGCCAGTATATCTTTAATCCCATACCCTAAACCCTGCATATTTATGGCCTTATGGTGTTTAACCACAACGTATCAACCAAAATTTCGCCTTATTGTCGTTTAGTGCTAACTCTCATCTCAGAGACCAACCGACAAACAGCATTTACTGACTGCTTACTCCATATGCCAGCCCCCCCCCCCCCCAAATCCCCCACCTCCTATATTACACTAAACCGTAGTCTTTGGTGTCCCAGTTGCCATTTTATGGGTTCCCATTCCGATAAGCCCTTTTAATAATCTGACGGAGATCTGCTGATACTCAATGTTTCCTCACTACTAACTTATCTTAACTCAATGATAAAAAGATAGCTAATGTGGTTTGTATTAAATAATAGATGAAGAAGAATCTTATTAATGTTCGCAATAAATTAAGCCAATTTATTTAAGTGTGAATTAGTACTTCAAACATAAAGGACTTTAGTAACTCAGTTGGAATGTAATTTGGAGAAAGGATGTTTAAGTTGATAGTTAGTTAAAACAAATTAATTAACCATAATTATGTGAAAACGAGCAAGTCACAATCACAACAATGAGATGGAAATAGCAGGTCTTGATGAGACGTCAGGCCAAGGCTCTTTAGCTCCGGCTTAATCCAGACTTTTCTTTCCCTGAAATGAATACCACAGTGAAGTTATTGTCAATTCACATTCATTTTAGTGTAATTAGATTTTGGATTTAACTCACGAATTTAGTTAGACTTTTGATGGAAAATTTGCGATCTGTTCGTTTTCTTACACCATCCTCCGAGTCGGGAGCCGTTGATGCACTGTCGGCGTTGTCAATGCTCATTTGCTTATTGATGCTCGACGTTGATTGAAAAGGCTGTGGTAGAGGCATCTGTGCCGGTGCATTAACGGCCTTGAAATAGTTCAATAAAAAGATAGGCTTGTGTCAGATTAAAAATAAATACCTTTGGTAGGAATGTTATAAAATATCATTGATGAGAACTGTTGTTTTATTTGGCATAAACTAGCTTACATTGAGTTAGAACACCCATTTAAAATTTGGACCTCTAACTAAAGACCTGAAGAGTATAAACGACAAGCGAGTTAGAAGTGAGTTCGCAGCCTCTTTGAACCAAGAGAAGCACATATTGTACGCCAAATGGACCAAACTGGGAACTCAGCTAGATCAGGCTAAATAGCGAATGGGTAACTGAGCGCGAATGGAACAGTGTGAAAGGGGCGAGAGAACTAGTAATTAAGATAAATTAAGTGAGGACGCACGATGGTTCTCTGTGAGAAGCCTAGGGACGCATGTGGAATTTGCTGCATATTTTAATAATTTTATTATAATCCCTGGGCATTCTAGTTCCTTTTTTATCTATTAAACACATTGCTGACTTTCATATTTCATACTTGTGTGCCTTACCCATGTGATATGTCTATATGGAGATTGGTTATGAAAAAAATTGGAAAGCTATTTAGTTAATAATTGACTTAAATAATCATTGGACCAAAATGCCAGGAAGTAGACAAACAAAGCTAAAAGATGTATTTACTTTGTTTGTCTTCGAAGGAGCGATTTTCACAGGTGGTCCCCAAGTCTTTAGCATCCTCCTTACTACACATCTTCTGATACCTTGACGGTTAATCAGAACAAAAGCTATTAACGGTCAAGTGGTGTTATAATCTTCAAACATCAATACTATGAAGACGTCTCGTAATAAGTTGTCACCGGTGCTTTACCATTAAGGACTCTGGTTGTAGCTACTCTTTCACTTTTCTTGAGTCTGAGTCAACAGTAGTTGGCACTTAGGTCACAATGTCAGTGGTCAAATGGGATTGCTTATCAAAAAAGAAATCTTACGCTGACGAGATTTGATAGCAAGTTTTGCATTTGCTCAGTTCGTTTGGTTTTGGCCTCTTCGTTTTGCTCTAGCTTTCCTATCATACTTCTCAGCCTATCAGTGACAGTTTTAATGCAGTTCTCAATGCGAGCAACACTCATGTTGGCCTTGTCCATATCCTCCTTGCTGGCAACTTGTGACGACAGCATCTTTGAAAATTGCTCGTAGGAGTTGCCAATTTCTTGCTCTTGATATGTGAACATTTCTTGCATTAGATCCATCTGGATAGGGTGGGGGAGAGAAGTACGCAGTAAGTTAATTTGTCAACCCATTATTTTTAATTTTAGATGAAAATCGACTGGCGTATGCACACTATCTCATGACAAAGTTCCTACTAAAGCTATAGTCATAATAAAATTAAATATTAAAAGAAAATCATAAATTTTTGGTCAGATTCAAATGTCTAAGACCAAGCTAAGCAAAGAGGTTATACGACATATAGGTGTGAAGGGAAAAATGACATTTATAAAAGCTAAGATAGAGAAGTAGTTTATTCTTTTATAGGAAAGTACTAATTCTAAAATGAAGCCCCGTTGCCAACACCTTCGTTTCCCTAGTCAAAATGCCATGTCTTCGCTTAAAGAGGATTACAGCAAAAAACTAAAGTCACTCTCCACAGGATCACTATTCCTAACACATATGCACTATTCACCATCGGTGGCCGGTGTTCAAAAGGTGACAAAAGGTAGCTGCGTGACCACATATACGAATACTACGAATGTAAATAATTCTATCAGCTGCTGAGAGAGAAAAACAAAACAGTGGTCCTACAATGGATTCCTGGTCACTGTGACATTAAAGGCAATGAGCTTGCTGATACACTTGCTAAGAAGGGGACAACGATTTTGCAATGCATGGACCGGCCGATGTCTTTCTAGACAATGAAGGCCTTAATCAGGAGAGAATTCCATACCTCAAGGTGCTACGAACTTAAGGCTCGAGCAAAGGAGAAACAGTGGACAGTGGCACTCTCCGATATAGCCGACTGGCCAAGAATCGAAGCCGTTGTTGAGTTTAGACTACGTACCGGACACGATTGC